CCCTGAACAGGGTTTCCAAGGCTGTAAATCTTTATGGGAGCAGAAAGCCTCATCTTTTTCCCCGTGGAGCAGCTGGTAGTTTCAAATTGCTGAGCTTGCGGTTCTCAGCCCGATTCGTAACCACTACGCTACCAGAGCTCCTTAGAATCATACAATATGTGACCTTTTTTCCGTATGGCTGCTTTCACTTAGCTTAATATTTTTGAGGTTCAGCCCCATTATGGCATGTACAAGACCTTCCTTCCTTTTTATAACTGAAGAACATTCCATTATATATAAGTATACCACATTTTGTGTATCCCTTCATCCATTGATGCATGGATTATTTGCACTTTTTGGCTGTGGTATATAGTCCTGCCATGAACATTTATGTACACGTTTGTCTGAGTACCTCCTTTCAGTTCTTTGGGCTATCTCCTTAGGAGTGAAATTACTGTGCTTAATTTATTGAGGAACCCTGTACAGGGCTTTTCAGGGGATTGACTACCATCAAATGTGTTAACAAGTGAGCATGGTGAAAATGACCACAATTCCACTCCCAGGCCAACAACACTTTGGTGTGTGTTCCAGATAGCTAGTCATAATGACCACTTATGGGCTTTCTCTGGACAGTCTAGTGGTGTTGCTTTTTAAATTTGAGGCCGAATATGAAAATCAGAAGATTTTGCCTTAAAATCTAGGTTTGAACCTTCTATTCAGAAATCAGAAGGTCTGACAACACTGTAGTGAAACTGCTGGCACTGAGTGGGGGCTGCCCTGTGACTTTGGGTCCCTGCCACCCTAGTCACCCATGGCCCCCACCTACCCTTCCTGGCCTCTGAAGTTACTTGAGTTTATGACCTTATGCCTGTGCTTTCACACACAATCTGCACACGTCTTTTCTTTATATGTGTATTTTCAGACTCTCACTATACATGCCATTTGTTTAATTTCTTGAATAGGTAATGGAATGACATGACTCAAAAGTCTAAAAAGGTATTTATCTCTAATTGTTGTTTGCAGGATTATACGTGATTCCACTTAATCAATCAAACTCGATAATTGAGTGATCCAAATCTTCCACTGATTGATGTAATAGTTACTGAGCGATATGTGCTAAATCCTCTTTTTGAGAAATTTCTCCTTGTAATTCTGTTGATTTTTGTGTCAGCTCTTTTTAGGCTACATTCTTAGGTGCATACAAGTTCAATATTTTTATATCTCATAGGTAGATTGTGTGTACAATTTTTCTATTATTGTCCCTGGGTTGAGTAAATGGTTAAGTCTCTAGCCAAAAGGTTGGTAGTCTGAACCAACCAAGAGGCACTTCAGAGCATAAGCCTGGAGATGTGCTTCTAAAAGTTCATAGCCTGGAAAACTCTAGGGAGCAGTTCAACTCTTCACACACGGGGACATCATGAGTTGGGCTAGACTCAGTGGCAACTAACACCAACAATAATACTTACGTAATAAATCTCTTTGTTCCAAATAAAAATCAATATAATGTGCAAAAAAGGGATGCAGTAAGAAATCTTACTCCCAACTTTGTCCCCATAGTCCTAATAACCCCCAAATATAATTAGATATTCTATTTTTTCCAGTTGTTTTAACACAAAGAGTACTATATAATTGTTGTTGTTGTTAAGTGCCATTGAGTCAGTTCCGACCCATAGCGACCCTGTACAGGGTTTCCGAGAGTGTAAATCTTTATGGGAGTAGAAAGCCTCATCTTTCTCCCACGGAGCGGCTGGTAGTTTTGAACCGCTGACCTTAAGGTTTGCAGCCCGATTCGTAACCACTATGCTACCAGAGCTCTGCCCCTTATATTTTTGACTCTTTAATGAAATACTTTGGAAATCTTTCTGAACCCATGTACAGAGAGATTATTCATTCTGTTAAACAGTGGCACAGTATTCCTTTATGTGGATGCCCACTATGTGTTTATTAAACAGTTTCATGATGGACGCATGAATTATTTCCAATTTTACAGTGAGCAAAATTGTACCTGTATCGTTTTTTCACATGTCAAGCATATCAATATCATGAATTCAAAAGTAAAATGTCTAGGTCAAATAATACATACATATTCTGATACGTATTCCCAAAGTGTCTTACATAGGGGTCAGACCAATTCCCGCTTCCAACAGCAAAGTATAAAAGTGCCTGTTTTCCCAAATCTTTGTCCACATAGTATGTCAAACTTTTGGACTTAAAAAATATATATTCTAGATTTATTATGGAACTTTGGTAGTGTGGTGGTTATGAGTCAGGCTGCTAACCCTCAAGGTCAGCAGTTCGAAACTACCAGCCATTCTATGGGAGAAAGATGATGCTTTCTGCTCCTGTAAAGATTTACAGCCTTGGAAACCCTATGCAGGGTTGCTATGAGTTGGAACCGATTTCATGGTCCACCACCACCACCAAGACCTAGATTCATTGGGTTATATAAAATGGTATTAAAAATAATTTCATTAACTTTTTAATGTGACTGTTAGAAATCTTTTAGGTGGAAAATGGTGTCTTGGGGTAGTTTTAGATTGTTATATGTGAGAGGAAATATCTTTTCATATGTTCATGAGCCTTGTGCATTACACCTCACATCTTTTGCCCATTTTTTTTTTTTTTCCTCTTCAGCTATCATTGATTTCTGAGAGCTCCTTATATAGTGTGGTGGTGGTGATGGTGATGGTAATGTGCCATGGAGTCACTTCCAACTCATAGTGACCCTGCATAGGGTTTCTGAGGCTTTACCAGAGCAGAAAGCATCACCTTTCTCCCATGGAACAGCTAGTAGTTTCAAACGGCTGACCTTGAGGTTAGCAGCTCGACTTGTAACCACTATGCTACCAGAGCTCCTTATATAGTGTAGTAGGGAGATTTTCTATTTTGTAGCATTCCTGCCATCTTTACTAATAGAAACTAGGACTATGGTATGGCTTCAGAGTCAGACAGTCGTGGGTTCAAGTCTTGATGCTGAACTTCTTCACTGTGGCACTTGGAAGAAGGACCTACCCTTTCTTCACCCGAATTTCCCCATGCCTAAAATGAAATAATGACAATCTCAGTCATATGATGATGATGATGGCGTTCTTGATTTTTTCCCCTTTAGGGTCGTAGCACCACCAGCAAGGCCAAGAAACCTCCTGGGGAAAATGACTTTGAGACCATCAAACTCATAAGCAATGGTGCCTACGGGTGAGCCACCCGGGGCTCTGGCGGGGGGAGGGTGGCGGAGGCCGGGTGTCTCGGAGGTGACAGCCGGTCCCCGCTCTCTCCCCCTGCAGTGCTGTCTACCTTGTGCGGCACCGCGACACACGGCAGCGCTTTGCTATGAAGAAGATCAACAAGCAGAACTTGATCCTACGTAACCAGATCCAGCAGGCTTTCGTCGAGCGTGACATCCTCACCTTTGCTGAGAACCCCTTTGTGGTTGGCATGTTCTGTTCCTTTGAGACCCGGCGCCACCTCTGCATGGTCATGGAATATGTGGAAGGTGTGGTTCCTCGCATGGTTACAGGGAAGATGGGGGATGGACGCTGAACAGGGCTGTTGGGTGGTCTGCCTCAGCCTCAGTTACTACTCATCTAGCCATGTTAACCACCCACCATGTTTATTCATCTATTTCTCTACTCATTCTTTGATCTCTCCATCAATTCCATCTGCTTATTTTCCCAGCTATCTATTTACCTCTTCCTTTTATTTAAAGGTAGCTCTGGTAGCGTAGTGGTTACGATT